TTTAAATTGCAGAGTACTGGCTGGTGTGCATTATTTGATATTTAATTTTTTTTTTTATATTTGATTTGTTTGGAATTGTAGAGTGTAGTCTATTAAATATATTTTTATAATTGCATTTTAATCTTAAATTTAAATAGTGTTGCGATTACAACTATACTTAAAACAACATTATTATTTACACCGTGCCTGAAGGCACGGTGTAAATAATGTTGGGATTAACAACATAAGAAGTACAAAAATAATATAAATTTCCTATTTTTCCCTTCTTTTAAATTCATTAACAACATAAGAAGTACAATTATAACATTGATATATCCAAAAAATATACTATCAAAAGGTAATTTTAGAAAATTAATTTTTTTAAAGTGTAATAATTATACAATCAAAAAAAGTTAAATTCTTCAAAAAAGACTATTATTTTGGGACAAAAGGAGTATATATAATGCTAAAAATCTTAAATAATTTATTAATATTTTTATCAAATATCTCATAAGTGTGAGATTCACATATAAGTGTGAGGCCTACATCACGTGAGTCCGATATAACTCTCATACTTATGTGAAATATTTGATAAAAAACGTTAATAAAATATTTGGGTGCTATCATTGTCATGTATATATATATATACTAGCATATACCCGTGCCTGAAGGCACGGTGTAAATAATGTTGGGATTAACAACATAAGAAGTACAAAAATAATATAAATTTCCTATTTTTCCCTTCTTTTAAATTCATTAACAACATAAGAAGTACAATTATAACATTGATATATCCAAAAAATATACTATCAAAAGGTAATTTTAGAAAATTAATTTTTTTAAAGTGTAATAATTATACAATCAAAAAAAGTTAAATTCTTCAAAAAAGACTATTATTTTGGGACAAAAGGAGTATATATAATGCTAAAAATCTTAAATAATTTATTAATATTTTTATCAAATATCTCATAAGTGTGAGATTCACATATAAGTGTGAGGCCTACATCACGTGAGTCCGATATAACTCTCATACTTATGTGAAATATTTGATAAAAAACGTTAATAAAATATTTGGGTGCTATCATTGTCATGTATATATATATATACTAGCATATACCCGTGCCTGAAGGCACGGTGTAAATAATGTTGGGATTAACAACATAAGAAGTACAAAAATAATATAAATTTCCTATTTTTCCCTTCTTTTAAATTCATTAACAACATAAGAAGTACAATTATAACATTGATATATCCAAAAAATATACTATCAAAAGGTAATTTTAGAAAATTAATTTTTTTAAAGTGTAATAATTATACAATCAAAAAAAGTTAAATTCTTCAAAAAAGACTATTATTTTGGGACAAAAGGAGTATATATAATGCTAAAAATCTTAAATAATTTATTAATATTTTTATCAAATATCTCATAAGTGTGAGATTCACATATAAGTGTGAGGCCTACATCACGTGAGTCCGATATAACTCTCATACTTATGTGAAATATTTGATAAAAAACGTTAATAAAATATTTGGGTGCTATCATTGTCATGTATATATATATATACTAGCATATACCCGTGCTTGAAGGCACGGTGTAAATAATGTTGGGATTAGAATATAATTATAATCTCAATACTATTTAATAGATTATCAATTATCAATTATTAATTTAATATAATTGTAATCCCAACCCTTCTTGCTCTTAAAAATAAAATGGCAAGAAAATTATGCCTTCTATCTGAAAATTCTTGTTTCTATACCAAGAAAATGGCATAGGCAAACAACCATTGTTGAGCTTTGGTGACCCACCATAAAACAAACTCAAAAATATCTATCTAAGTTCACAGAAGCTGTGGAAGTTTCCAATCAAATGAAGGGATTTAAAATTAAACTTTATAAGAACATAGGTGAGTTTTCAAATGAAATTCAATTAACGCCCAAATAGTTTTATTTTAGTTTAATTACGTGTTTATGCGATCTTTAAGTTGCTGTTATGTTATTTCATTTACAGTCAACAATAAAGCAAAAAGTTTTGCGAGCAGGTAAAGAATAAAGTTTTCCAACAATCAAAGCAAATGCAAACTCAATGTTTGAACTTTCAAGGAAGGAGAAAAAAAGAAGCTTGAAAACAAAAACATATTTAGTAAATTTTTGACAAATTTTCTACTGACTTAAAAGCCTAGAAATAAAACATTCACTGTTTAATTAAGTTTGAGATGGGCTCAACTCCAAAATACATTATTATTAACTCCAAAATTGGACATATCTCTATAAAGTTACATGTCAAATAGAAGGCTGACTATTGCAAAAGGGAAGCATTGTGTCCAGTACATGAAATCTTAAAAATAATACAAAAATTATCAACCAACAAATCCAAACAACAAATCCTTCAGGATTCAGAATTCAAACAATAAATCCAAACAACATAATTAACCAACAACAGCGATCAAGAGCAGAAAAAGGGAAATTCAATAGACAATGTAAAATACCTCTATTTTGGTATTGAACGATGGGTCTTGAAACCACTGTTGGGAAATTAAAAAACATTAAAAAAAATTGAGTTATTGACATAGAATGGCAAAGCTAAAGGAGTCTCAAAAAGGTCTATTAGTGTATCCCCAATCTGGGAGTCCCTTGCATTATATATAGGACAATCAATAGTGATGGGTCATCAATCATGTCCATCTATGTTGGGATGGTAAACCCCAATGACAACATTTTGAGATTAATGTTGGGATGACAATTGCTATAAAATTGATGTTGGGATTAATCCCAATATCTCCAAACATTTTGTCCCAAGATTAAAGTTGGGATGACAGTGTATACCCGTGATAAAATTGGATAGGAGAAGATTAATCCCATGATTATTTCTCCTTTATTTTGTACTTTTCGTAAGAAGCCATCAAATACATTAACTAAGACAATTTTAAAAATGAAATTGTTGCCCTAAAAATTGGCCAAAGTTAAAAGGATTTGAAAGTCGTTCAATAGCCATTCTAATATCGATACCTGAAATTAAAAAAAAAATTAAAATTAAATTTGAAAAATAATAATAAAGTTAGATTAGATGGATTAAAGTAAAAATGTCTAATGTTCAGTATTTTCAAATCAACATCACATAGTATTTAATAAACTTTCTAACTACTCAAAAGCATCTATCATTTATCAAACACCACTTGCCATCACATACAGTCCAACTCGCTTTCTTCACATATTTCCTTATCTAGTTTTACTACATTTATTATGTACTTGACAAAAAAAGAAAACACTTGTTTTCCTTTATTAACTAAACCAGGCAAGAAGAACAATGGGACAACAAAAACTCTACACCACGATTTTGTTGTCCTCATATTCCAAGAGGTTAAAAAAGAGAAGACAGAAATAGAGAGGAAAAAAGAACCTACAACTTTAGTTTTCTCTTAAATAAAATGTAAATTTATAAATCCTGAAAAACCAATTTAAAAGACAATTAGACATCAATTTTTATTTTGACAATGGGGGATTCCAAAACTAAGCACAAAGTTATTTCCAAAGTAACTCAAAATTTACCAACGTATATTGTCTTAAGAAAGGCATTTTGTTACCTAAGATTAGTCTGTGTGTTCAAAAAAAAAGAAAAGAGATTTATCTATGTTTATCTTCCATTTTCTTTATCTTCCACTTTCTTTTGTTTTTTCAATTTTTTCAATCCTCATTATGCACATTTTCTTTTTGGTTTAAATTTTCAACACACACTCTCAACAATCCCCAAAATATGTAATGGCCAAGCCAACACTTTCTTATGGGGGGAAAAGAAATCTAGGGCACAGTGCATAGGTCATACTAATCCATTCAATTTCATTCCACTACTTTAACATTCACCAAAACCACTAACAGAAAAGCTATAAAGACCACTACAACACCCTTTACTAAGCTCCATAAGAAAATAAGAAAGATTAAGAAAAATAATCTAGTGGGAAAAGCAAATAAAAGCAAAAAGTTTGAGTAATACTATTTTTTTTTTAATCATGGTTTACTGCTCATTAGTTCCATTTTGCCTATCTTTTATGCAAATGGAAAGGGAGCTTTGTTTAAAACATAACTTAAAAAGTACAAACCAAACAATTTAACTTTTATCAAAATTATATAAGTAATGAAAGAGATGTAATAAAGAAAAATTGTGTGAGAGAGTTGTATCTTTGATTATATTGAGAACCTAGAAATTGATGACCACCAGCAAAAAAACACAACACAATATGAAAATAGCAGAAAATAACAAACTAAAATTTGGGAGAAAACTAATGATTAGAGGGAGAAAGGAAATGACATATTTATCAAAACTTTAATGAAAAATATTATGAGAGAAATAAAAAAAAAAATTGAATACCTTTCATTATAGAAACTGATGAACTGCGTCAAAAATTCATGAACTGCAGCAAGAGGGAAATCATATATTAGAAATTGATTTATAGAAATATAGCAATCAAAACAAAAGAAATAAAACAATTAATCAAAGTACCATAATGTTTGTACATGATCATTTTCTACAGGATCATTTTCAGATAACTTTATTTTTTTAACACAAATAAAATAAAATAAATACAGAAGTGAATAGTAGAAAACAAACATTAAGGGTTGAAAGTGAAACCACCTTCTTCTTCACTTATGAGGTACCATTATGCATAATCATCTAATTAAAAGTATAAAGCAGGTTTAAACTACTTCAAGCATAAAGTAAGCATGGAGTTTCGAGTTATGTGTTTGGTTATGCGTTTACTAAATTAGCTTATCAGAAATGATATTTCATCTTCAAGTAAAATGGAAAAAAACTAATCCTTTAATTTACTGGAATAAGTAATTAAATTGGCTTTGACACAAACACATATCTATCATACCCCTATCCTACATGCATATCAAAAAAATAATAATTCGATAAACTTTGTAATAAACTAATTTGAAAGAATAAAAAAAATAAATGACCAAAAGAATAAATATTGAATGTAGCCCTCATATGCTCAACTTGCAGAACAGATTGATCGCATCTCTTCATTAATTTTACCAACATAACAATGATAATCACCAAACAAAGAAAAGAAAATATGGACTCCCTTAAAAGGTAATCACTTCAAATAAACAGAGCAGCAAATCTATTACATTATATTGAGCCAATAGCTCACTTTCGACTGACAGGCAGTTTTTATGTCAAAGTAAGTTTGTTCTGACTGCTTTAAGTTATTGACAGTTGGCAAAAGTGTAGAGTTTGATATATAGATAAAACTGTCGAGAGTGGGCAACAACACCGACCTTATCCTACAACCACTATATACAGAGAGCACCAAGCTTATCATCAAAAAATCCCACACCCAACTGACTTGCCAATAAAGGTATGTACTCTATTATTGCAAGTCGAACCCTCCAATGCCTATCCTCAGCAAGTTCAACTATAGCCAGCAATAGAGATTGTGACAAAAGATCAATTCCAATAACCTGCAATAATAGCTACTTATCAAGTTCAGCTAAATGCAAGTAAAGAAATGATGTCTATTCCTAACAAAGAAAAAATATATACAACATTATTGTAACTTAAGCCTAAACTTAGAAAACCCACATAGAAAAATCGCAAAAAAATAACAGAACACAGACCCAGAAGAATAATATTGGTAGTTGGATGATTCCCATTATCCAAAAGCAAGTTAAAAAATTATTGGGATGATTCCCATTTCTCCACAAAATCAAACCGAAAACAAAAATATGAGAGAAGATACCATTGAAACATAGTAGGAAGGCCCATTTGTTGCATAAAATTATATGATAGTGATTCTCCTCATCTTTGTTGCATAACACACAACAAATATGAAGGCCCATTTGGGAACATTATTGTTTGTTGCCCCTATATATCATGTTTGGATTGAAAGGAACTCTAGAATTTTTTGGAGGAATGAATAGGCATGATTGTAACTTATGGGAATTTCTTTTAAGGTTCTGTTTGTCTTTATTGCTTTGATTAGATGGTTTCTACTTGTGTTCTTGTCTTGATTGCTTTTAAGGTTCTTTGATACTGTTGTTTCTTTGTTTGCTATGGGGTATGCCATGTTTTGTTATTTTTGTGCAATAAAACTTATAAAAGTAATTTACCAAATAAAAATAATCCATTGTAATTAAGTTTTACCTTGTTGAAGTAAAATTTGTAAAAAATTTAATTGACTATTCTCAGAAACTCCATAATGATTCTCAGAAACCCTATAGAGTTCAGCAAGCCAACAGATAGCTTTAAGTAATGCAGGGGAAAAAATGACTGACCTCATAAAAATCAACAAAAAAATGTGTGAAAACCCCGCCATAAACCACACCTGCAAGGGGAAAAAGCTAATCATTAAATAGAATTACATCTAGAAAGTCTATTTTTCTAAAAATAGAAAGGAAACAATAGACAAATAAAGTAGAAAATGCAGTTTTAATCGAAGGATATAGCGAAGGAATTCTTTTACAAAATTGGATCACTAATTTGCACCACAAAAAATAAATTGAACTATTAAATTTCCAAAATCTAGTAGAAGAATTCTTTTACAAAATTGGATCACTAATTGCACCATGAAAAATAAATCGAACTATCAAAGGCACTACAAACTTGATGCCCTCAAGCAGCTTTTTTCATGTTATTCTGTGGAGTCCCGAGCTAGTGTACATATGTTGTGAACCAAATTTTCGATATTATGTAAGTTCCATCTACCTATCCATATGCATCAGGTTAAAAACAGAAAACAGATAGTATAAAAGAAAAATCTCAAAAATTAAGAATAAACAACATGCATGTCCAAGTAAGAGTAAACACTCAGAAATGTTCTGCATTATTGTAGACACCCCATTTTTGACCGACCTTGAGACTCAGACGTCACCATTTGAGCGCTCGGTGATATTGCATATTGCGTTCGTTCAGAAGTTTCAGAGTCTCGGCTACGAGCCTTGCCTCCGGACTTCTGGACTCTTTTGTGCTTTGCCTCGGTTTGCGAACCAGGCTCCGTTTTTTCTGTTTTCTCTTCCCGAGGGGAGGGAGAGGTCTCGTAGATCATATCTCAGTGGCCGTAGGCTATGTTTCGTGGTCGTAGGCCGTTTTGCCCGTTTGGAGTCCGGTTTCCGATTTTTCGGAGCCGTTGGCCGTATGCTTCGGTTCGGGACCGTTTAACCACCTCCGTTTGCTCCAGTTTTTGGCATGCATCTTATTTAATCCCTTTTGAGGGACACTGCGGTCCAAGAGACCAACTTTGTGGTCGGACACAACTTCCGGTGCTTAACAGCCCACTTTCGGGGCCCCGAACTGCGTGTTTTGGATCCCGAACCTTCATTCTACATTTTTGGGCTCCGACCTGAACTTGAGATAGTCATATTTTGAGGTCCTTTTCATGTCTGATTAAGGACCTTTTGCTGTTTGAGATCTCCTCCCATCACTTGCTTCTTTAACGCTCTTTTAGGCCTATTTTTGCACGGTATTTTAGGCTTACTTGTGAGCTGTTCCGGACTTGGTCATAAACTACAAAGTGTCTTTCAACTTTGTTGAAGGGCTCTCGGCCATTTGGGTCCAGCAGCTACCACTTGCCTTTATATCCCGCTTTTTGGCCTTTTTGGAGGGAAACTTGGATTGTTTTCCCTCCATTTCCCCCCCCCCCTTTTTCACCCCTTTTGCCTATATATACAGCACCCCAGGTCTGTATTAAGGGTTAGAAATTTTTGTTTAGAGCTCCTATATTATATCTCTCTCTCTCTCTATATTCCAACCATCAAAACTCCAAGTCCCCTACACCATTTCTTCACCATTCCTTCACCACCACCTAGCACCACCACCACCACTCTATACCAGCAGTTTGGAGGTCATTTCCAGAGGCAAGGAGCATCTTTTTCTCAAGCCAAGAGGTTGCTAAAGACTAGTCTTCAAGGGTGAGTCTCGTTTTTCCCTTTTTTGCTCTTTTCTTGGTCTATATCTTAGCCCTTCTTGCTTATACATTTGAGCTCCGACCAAAACTGAAAGTGGCCATATTTTAAAGCGGCGACGTATGAAGGAGCGCAGACTTGATCAACAGGATTATACGAGAGGATTTATTTTTTATTATCCCTCTTGTATGCCTATTTCTTGCGTAGTATTTTAGGCTTATGTATAATCTGTTTTGAGGCATGTCATAAACTGAAGAGTTGCTTATTTTGAGCCCTTATTCAACATTGTTGAAGGACTCATTGCTGTTTGTGGCCTCCATTTACTACTTGTCATTATATCTCTCTTTTGGCCATTTTTTTTGCATGATTTGTTAGCCTCGGATGCTTCTGTTTTTGGTCTCTTTTCAGAACTGAAAATAGTCTTATTTTGACCCCCTCTTCATGTTTTATTAAGGGTCTTTCATGGTTTGAGGCATCTTTCATATACTTTGTGTTATATCCCTATTTTTGGCCTTATTTTGCATAGCATTTTGAGCATTCTTGCATACTGTTTTGGGTCCGGCCATCAACTGTAAAGTGCATTATTTTTTGCCCCTCTTTAACATTGTTGAAAGGCCCCTTTGTGTTTAACGCCAGCAACCACTACTTGCTTCTTTGTCCATCTTTTGGCCCTTTTCTTGCATGAGAGCTTAGCCATACCTGTGTTGGTTTTTGTGGTTTGCCATAAACTGTAAAACATCATATTTTAGGCCCCTCTTCAACATTGTTGAAGGTCCGTAATCTGTTTGGGGTCAGCAGCTGTGAGTTGCTTCTTTATCTCACATTTAGGGCTATTTTTGCATGCTAGTTTTGCCCTATTTGTGTTTGCTGTTTGGCCTCGCTTAGAACTGTAAACATGCTTTTTTTGGGGCTACCTTGAATCTGTCTTCACATGTCATGATCAAATAATGCATGCTTGATGTAGCTACAAGTCATTTCATGAGCTTAATCTTGCATTTCGGGACCATTTCATGCATCGGGTGTCATATTCCTATGATTCGGGGCTGTTTTGGGTCATGTTTTGCTGCTGAAACTTGCATGTTTGAATGCCATTTTTCATGCCTTGCCATGTCTTATTAGAGTGGCATTTGGTGCCTTAGGGTCGGTCCTCGGTTTGCGTGCATGCGTGCACGCATCTCGAGTTGTCTCATTTTCATCTAATGGCCTCCCATGTGAGTGTGGCTGAGGTCCATTCATGTTGGTGTAAGTCCATATTGCATTGTGTATGCCATTTTATTTCATAGCATTGCGTATGCTAGGTTGTATGTTAGCGCATTGTGTATGCCATGTTATCTCGTGCATCGTGTATGCCGTTTCATAGCATCGTGTATGTTAGGTTGTATCTTAGTTGCATTCAGCAGTAAATCAAGAATCAGCGGTCTTCCGAGGCTTGGCACGCATTTCAAGAACAGGTGTAAACAGAGGCTAATTGGGGCATCGTCATGGATTTCCGCGCAAAGGCAACCCGGGCATGCATCATTCATCATCCAGGGCGGAGTCAAGGCAGTCCCTGGCTTGCATCTCAGTTTATCGTTTTCTTAATTAATTTGGTAATTAATTAGGATTTTTATACATATTCGGACTGTATTATTTGGGACTGTATTATTCTTTCGGACCCTCCGCGCGAGGGCAATATTGTAATAAGTGTGCGTGCGTGTGTTGTATGTCTTCCAACCCCACGTCTTTCTCCCTTTTATTTACCCGCTTATGATGGTTAGATTAGGGCATATTTCAATTAGCATACAGTATGATAGCATGTTTGCATTCATTCATCTGTTTTGCATGCACCGGGCTCGGCGCATCATACTAACTGCATTGTATTTTCAATTCCAATTTGAATACATGTTAGCTGTAGCGTTCCATATGCCATGTTTAGAACAGCCGAGCCTGCTATAGTCGCATTTTTGCATGTGTTGCATTAGGCATTTCTGTATAATTAGGATTATGCATGGATTTCTAATGAGCTTCTGTTTTGGCTTGGAATACTCGGTAAGTTTTATGCTTTAGCATCCTTGCATGCGTGTGAGTGACTGCCATGAATAGCATGCTTACCATGAGGCTATGTGCTTATGTGATATAACTGCCTGAATGCCTGTGGGTGAAGGTTGGGTTATTTGGATTGGAACAAATCATCAACTGTGAGTTTTAAGCCTACTAGATAGTGGCAAAACCATCTTTTCTTAAGCCCACCTAAGGGTGGCAAAATCTGCATTTCATACCTACTTGCGAGTAACAAACCATCTTTCAAAAACAAACATGAAATGTTTCGTTCCAATTCAGGCGACCCAGTCTATACTTGTATGCTGTGCGCATCACATAGTAATCTAGGCTAATAACCGGAATAAGAACACACAATATTTTCAAAATTTGATATCATGGTTAGTAGAGGCCGATCTTTGATCGGGCGAGCGGGGGTGCTCACGAAGTGACCTTCTCCAATCGTACCCAAGTTCCCCAGCCGAGCCAACTTTGGTGATGATGGACACGTGGCCTTAGGCAAACGAGTCAGGATTTCTTAAATTTTCCCAAAATAAAACATTTAGGTGGCAACTCTGTATCTGGCAAAGCAGTCCATGTTTGGCACTTCTTTCAAAAATCTGTTTTTTTCTCAAAACAATTTGCCGGATTTGGACTCTTTGGTTCAGACTTAGAACCATGACAATTTTAGAATCCTGACTTGTAGTGAGCCCAATATCGAACGGAACGGGGGGAGTTCGTTCCTCTCCCGGGGCGTTCGGGGACGTCTACAGTTTCTGGCGACTCTGCTGGGGATTTAGAGGACTTGACTCGAACTCATGATATCTGTTTTTTACTACACTTGTGTTCCTGAACGGTTTGCCGGAGGCTTGTCTTGTCAAGGCATGACCATAAGGCTGACCGGTTGTGGGCTCTGCCAGTATGGAAACACAAACCCCGGTTTTACCGGGGCACCCTTTTCGACCATTCGACCTAGTGCATATTCGGATCCATAGTGACTATTTCAAACTAGGACAGGTTGCTTACCCGATTTAGGTTGTCTGAAACCGCTGCGTGCGTAGTGAAGCCCTAGCTCCTGACAAAATAGGACAGGGAAACCCTACCCTTACATAGGGGTGTTTTGGCTCTCACTTATCTGCTATGTGCTTTTAGAGTGCGTCTCTATAGGAATGCATGTATCAGTTTACAAGTTTGGGCATCAGGCCTGTGGGCACCAGTTCAGCATCTTGGGATTCGGTTTACCAAAGGGTATCAGATTTGAGGCAGAATTCAGTAGAGGGCACAGTCATCCTGCTACACTTGTATCTGTTTTGGTGAAGTTGAGCTGAGATGCTGCATGTTTTCTCTTTTGCTAGGTGGTCTGGGAACCATAGCTTCAGAAGGCTCCGATATCCCCCGAGGTTCATCGAACTTGTGCTGATAGACTTTGTTAGGTCAGAGACTCAGTTCAAGGGCAATCAGTGTTCCTCCGCCAGAGGCAGGGTAAAAAGGGCCAGTCAGGCACAAATCACCAGTTCAGCGGTTACCAGATCAGTGGCCCTTATCCACCCTACCAGTGAACAGTCAGGCTGAGATCTCAATTTCT